GTATATGTTTGGTTCTGTCACCCTTGATAAACCCTTCTTTAATTTGAGCTATACAAGCAGCATTGTCTTCATACATGATTGTCGGGGCTTTTGTTGTTGAAGAAAGATCACATGTTTTCCGAATATGATGAACTAGGGATCTTAACCAAACACATTCTCTACTGGCCTCATGGAGCGCAAGAATTTCTGCATGATTAGAAGAGGTAGCAACCAAAGTTTGTTTTGTAGATCGCCATGAGATTGCTGTATTTCCACAAGTAAACACATAACCAGTTTGGGAGCGACCCTTATGTGGATCGGAGAGATACCCAGAATCCGCGTATCCAACAAGATTTGAACCGTTGGAAGGTTCGTACGAATAAAACAAGCCCATATCAGTTGTTCCACGAAGGTAGCGCAAGATATGCTTTATACCATTCCAGTGTCTACGTGTTGGAGCCGAGCTATACCTGGCTAATAAATTTACTGAGAATGCAATATCTGGCCTAGTACATTGGGCTAAATATAATAAAGCACCTATTGCACTAAGATATGGAACTTCTGGACCAAGTATCATTTCATCATCCTCTTTAGGACGGAATGGATCTTTATTTGTGTCTAATGAACGAACTACCATTGGAGTACTCAACGGGTGGGCATTATCCATATAAAATCGCTTCAAGATTTTTTCAGTGTAAGCTGATTGATGGACAAGAATACCATTGGGATGATGCTCGATCTGCAAGCCCAGACAATATTTAGTTTTTCCAAGGTCTTTCATCTCAAATTCACCCTTTAAATATTCAGCAGTTTTAATGATCTCTTGAGGAGTTCCAATTAAGTTCATGTCATCAACATACACTGCTACGATTGCAAATCCAGAATTTGATTTCTTTATAAAAACACAAGGGCATATGGGATCATTAATGTAGCCTTCCTTGATCAAATATTCACTAAGACGGTTATACCACATTCGTCCGGATTGTTTCAACCCATATAGAGAACGTCTCAACTTAATGGAATACATGTTCCGTGATTTAGTGTTTGATTCTGCCAACTTGAGTCCTTCTGGGACTTTCATATAAATATTAGCATCTAACTCCCCATACAAGTATGTAGTAACAACGTCCATAAGACGCATGTCAAGTTTTTCTGAAACTGCAAGACTTATTAAATAACGGAACGTAATTGCATCCATAACAGGAGAATATGTTTCTTCATAATCAATCCCAGGCCTTTGAGAGAAACCTTGCGCAACGAGTCGTGCCTTATACCTTGCAATCTCATTTTTCTCATTACGCTTTCTTGTGAACACCCATTTATATCCCACAGGTTTTACACCTTGTGGTGTTTGAACCACAGGTCCAAATACACCACGTTTTTCCAAGGAATTTAACTCAACTTGGATTGCGTCTTTCCACTTTGGCCAATCAGGCCTTCCTTTACATTCATCAACAGATCGTGGTTCAATATCTTCATAACCTTTTATAATCTCAGCAGCTACTGCGAAAGAGAAACTATCATCGATAACCATTTCACTACGGTCCCATAATTCATCATTGCATGCGAAATTTACAGAAATTTCTGTATTAGGTATCTTTTCCTCTTCAGTGGCTTGTGTCTTTTCAATGACACTTTCATTCTCCGGATGAATTGTAGATTCAAGGTGAATCTCTTTCCCAATAATATCTTCATTAGCGTTTCCATTGGGATTGGGATATACTTTCGATTTTCGCTTTCTAGGAGTTGAGTCCTTGGAACCAATGGGTCTACCTCGCTTCAGGCGTGCAGTAGATGATTCATTTGCTGCAACATTGGTTAATCCGATTGGGATATCAATCCTTGCTGGTGTGTTTGCTGCAGGTATATGTGATTTTGTCACTTTTCCTGTATCAGTGAATGCATCTGGCATTTGATTAGCAATTTGCTGAAGGTGGACAATTTTTCGTACTTCATTTTCACTTTGAGTTGTACGAGGGTCAAGATGAGACATAATGGATATGTTCCAACCCAATTCTCGCCGTTCTTCAGGAACGGTCTTTTCTCCCCCTAACGGCGGGAAGAATGTCTCATCATAGTGACAGTCCGCAAAACGTGCTGTAAAAGTATCTCCTGTCATAGGTTCGAGATAACGAATGATAGTTGGTGAATCAAAACCAATGTAAATTCCCAATCGACGTTGAGGACCCATTTTAGTGCGTTGTGGGGGTGCAATTGGCACATAAACTGCACAACCAAATACCCTTAAATGTGATATATTGGGTTGTCTCCCAAAGGCAAGTTGTAAATGGGAGAATTGGTGGTGGGTAACGGGCCTCAAGCGGACTAAGGATGCTCCATGTAAAATTGCATGTCCCCAAGCAGAAATTGGCAACTTTGTCTTCAATAGCAAAGTGCGAGCAATAAGCTGGAGACGCTTAATAAAAGCTTCAGCTAATCCATTTTGAGTATGGACATGGGGAACTGGGTGCTCAACATCAATCCCAAGTGACATGCAATAGGCATCAAAAGTTTGGGAGGTAAACTCACCAGCGTTATCAAGTCGAATTGACTTTATTGGATAATCAGGGAATTGTGCTCGTAATTTAATTATCTGAGCAAGGAGCCTAGAAAAAGCAACATTACGAGTTGACAATAGGCAAACGTGTGACCATCTTGTAGATGCATCGATTTTATTCAATGGAAAAGATCCAAACTAACATGTGAAATGGGGAAAAACATGAATTAAAATCAGCTCAAACGCGCTCAAACAACATAAAGCGAGGGAAAATAAAAAATAAAAAAAAATTCAACAAAATTAATTGGGGAGTATCCCATCACTAATCATAGGATCAAAAGATTTGCCATCAGTATCAACAAAGAAGTCTGAGACATCAAGGTGAGTTGCATCCACTGGTTCTAACTCTGTTGGATCAGCATCCATCCAATATGTCTCAACCTTTTTTCCTTTGCCCTTGATTGAGGCTTGGTAAAGATCAACCAAATGTTTTGGTGTGCGGCATACACGTGCCCAATGCCCATTTGTACCACACCTATGACATGCTTCCTCAATCACCCTGTCAGCTGAAGGTTGGGAGCCATTTGCCTTGTCTTGTTTGTTCCACTTCTGGTGGTTATGAGATGCTTGGGTATTTCTTGGGCCCAAGCGGTGGCTATTACTATTTTGGACTTGACCATTACGGGTACCCCTACCACGACCACGTCCTCGACGACGGTCGCCATGTGATGAGGTAGCATATGCCTCATGAGATGGTGCCAAGGCAGCATTCACTTCATGGAATGGTGCAGATCCAGTTGGACGGGACTGATGGTTCTGCATCAGAAGCTCATTATTCTGTTCAGCTAGAAGTAGACAAGATATGAGGTCTGAATACTTCTGGAAACCTCGTTCTCGATATTGTTGTTGCAAAACCACATTGGAGGCATGAAATGTGGTGAAAGTTTTCTCCAATAGGTCTGCATCAGTTATATTTTCTGCACAAAGTCGTAACTTAGAGCTAATTCTGAACAGAGCAGAATTATAGTCAGCCACTGATTTGAAATCTTGTAGACGCAAGTGCATCCAATCATGGCGAGCCTTAGGAAGAATAACTGTCCTCTGATGGTCATATCTTTCCTTGAGATTTCCCCAAAGGGCCAACGGATCCTTGACAGTAAGGTATTCACACTTCAAGCCTTCATGTATGTGGCGTCTGAGAAAAATCATGGCTTTCGCTCGATCCACAGAGGATGCCTCATTGCCTTCCTTAATGGTTTCCCCTAGGTTCATAGCCTCAAGATGAACCTCAGCATCATTGATCCATGAAAGGTAGTTCTTTCCGGAGATGTCAAGTGCAACAAATTCGAGCTTTGCCAAGTTCGACATTTTCTATATAAAAGAAAATGGAATGTATTAGAGCTCAAGAAAATTGTTGATATAGTAAACATAAATATAATCACCAAAACTTCTGGTTTGGGATGTTTAGACAATTTAGATTGAGGAACTTTATGCCTTCAATTATTTTGAATCACAGAAACTTAGGTTCTGATTTGATAAAGGAACTTCAGGTCCTTATCCATTATGAGGATCGAGGAACTTCAGGTCCTGATCTCTTGTTAATAAAAAAACTCATCATAATATATTGTGTTTAAATAAGATAAATTAAAAACTTAAAAGGAGAACAGAAAGAAATAATAATAATAATAATAATAATGATAATTGCATACTACTCGTGTTATTAGCTACAACATGCATGTCAACAAGTTTTCAATGAATAGTGGTCATATAACAATAACAACAACAACAACAAAAACTACATGTTCATGCATTCATTGGGGGATACTCTCGGCAATTTAAATCATGTCAAAAACATGATTTCACAAAAAAAATAGCCATCATCGAGTTTTGTATATAAAAGAAAAAATATATATATATATGGATTAACTAAGCTATAGAGAAGAACATTACCAAGAGCTTTCGTGCTGATAACGTGTTATAAAACTAGAGAATATGTAGGGAGAAATAAGAGGAAGAAAGAGACAGTATAATTTGCTCAAATCAACTTGTCTTTCATTCATATTTGGTGCCACTATTTATAGGAGCAGAGATACCTGAATCACCTACCACCCATAATTGATAGGTTACAAATACATTGGTTGGTAGAGTACAAATACATTGGTAGGTTACATGTATATAATGATGGATATTATTGTGGGCATCCATAACCTATAAACCCATAACGTATGGATTTATAACACTATTCCCTTTTTCCCTTTTCTATTTGTGTTCAAAGAGACTAGGCTAAGATACTTGGTTTAAAATGAAAAAGGTTTAGCTCAACTAGTATAAACAAAATGAATCCGCCATTTAGAATGTTTTTGTTGTATATGTTGTGGCTAAAATTCATTTCCTAAGCATTGAATGCATGTTTCCTTCAGCAAAACCAGAGAGCTGCCCAAACAAAACAGAAATAGGAAAAAAAACAAAAGACAGAGAGGCTCCAAACTCTGCAATGTTATATATGTGATTTTAGCATATACAATGAAAAGAAAATCACAAGTTGATCTTCTTAATCATGAAGGACAACATATTAATCTTGATGAAAAGAAACCACAAGTTGACCTTCTTCGTCATGAAGAAAAGGATTGTCCTTCAAAAGCTTATTCTTGATTTTATTGAGTGTGGCTACAGCTTCTTGCATATTAATCCTCTGTGCCGGAGAGTCTGCAGAACAAGTGAGAGCTAATCTAATGATGGATGATAAGCAATCCCTCCTGGTCTCAACATCATGATTCTCCTGTTGTGTCTTCCTGAGTAAATTGGCATCCACAACTTCATCTATTGTTGCATCTGGTAATAGTGAATTTGCAATCCATTGCTTTAAACTCATTTTCCCAACAAACATCTCATCTGTTGGCTTCCTTCTTGTGAATGTTTCCATCAGGACAACACCAAAACTGTATACATCCCCTCTTGTTGAAACTATTCCATCCATTCCATACTCTGCAATATTATTAATTATATATATATATGATGGAAAAATTATTGACCTTCTTCACAATTAAGGACAAGTTATAAATTGAAAGACAAACCAACTTGCAAGTACATCACCTGGAGCCATGTACCCAATTGTGGCTAGAGTCATGGTCTGCGTTATAGAATCTCCTACACCCAGGAGTTTTGCAATGCCAAAATCGGCAACATATGCAACCATATCATCATCTAGTAGTATATTGCTGGGCTTCATATCACAATGGACAATAGGTACTGAATAACCATGGTGTAGGTATTCCAATGCAGACGCAACGTCTATCATTATGTTCATCCTCTGTAAGATATTCAAAGAATAGTTTTGAGAATACAGCCACTTCTCGAGACTCCCATTTGGCATGTAATTCAATACCAGGGCTTTGAAATCAATTTCACTGCAACAGCTGATGATTTTGATAAGGTTTCGATGGCGAATATTGCTTAGTATTTCACATTCGATATCAAAACTCTTGAAAGCCCCTTCTAGTTGTAAACTGAAAACCTTTACTGCAACATCTGTTCCATCTGAAAGCGTCCCTTTATATACTGAGCCAAAACCCCCACTTCCAAGTAAGTTGTTTCCGTGAAGTCCATTTGTTGCCCTTAGAAGTTCTAGGTGTGAAATTCTTCTCCAAAGAAGTTGAGGCAACGAGTTAGCCTCTCTTGCAACTTCCACATTCCTTTTCCTGCGTAGTACAGAGATAAATACGGAGGCCACTAGGAGAATAACTGATATGATCCCTGGGATGATGTATTTAGCTTTCCTCCAATTTGGTTCAAGTGTACCATTTTTGCATTGTGGAACATGGAGTCGGGGTGCACCACAAAGTGCCCTGTTTGAGACAAATGATTGAGCGGAGAAGTTTTGGAACGGTCCACCAATTGGAATTTCTCCTTCGAACCTATTGAAAGACAAATTTAGATACTTGAGAAGTAAGAGAGCTTCTAAAGACCTTGGAATAACTCCAGACAGATTGTTTCTGGATAAATCCAAGAGTTGCAGGCTTAGCAAGTGGTTAAATGAACTTGGAATAGGGCCTTCCAAATTATTATTTGCCAAGGATAGAATATTCAAATCCAAAAGACCCCCAATGGTGCTTGGTATAACACCAGATAAATGGTTATTTGATAAATCTACCTCTAGGACAACTTTCAAGTTTCCAATATCTTGTGAGAGAGGTCCAATTAGAGAATTGGATGATAAGTTTACATGCAAGATATAGGCCAGTCTCCATAGAGTAGATGGTATTGTGGAACTCAACGAATTGGACTCCAGTAATAGATTTCTGAGAGATCCGGCTAGATTGCCCAAGCAGGAAGGTATAGAACCAGAGAGCTGATTTCCTCCCAGAGATAAGTAAACTAGGTTATCTAGTTGACAAAGTTCATCTGGGATGTATCCTTGCAACTTGTTACCATCCAAATACAAAGCTTGGAGATTCCGAAGTCTTCCCAGTGAAGTTGGAATTGATCCACTCAATTCATTGTATCCCAGGGATAAGGTTACCAAGCTGCTAATGTTGCCAACATCAATGGGAATGCTACCCCTCATGCTGGAATTGAATAAATAAAGATATTGAAGCGACGGTGTAGAGCAATTCTGAAAAGAATCATCAAGTCTGACATTTAACGGATTATTTGACAAATCTAGTGTTGTCAAATTTCCAAGATTAGACAAACAAGAGAGAGTGGAAGTGTCAATCGTCAAATTATTCATGTATAAGGCAAGCAGCTGAAGATTTTTTAAGGTACAGAGCGTCCTCGGAATAAACCCTGTAAATGAGTTTCCCTCCAATTGAAGCCGCGTGAGCATAGAAGCATTGGAGAGGTTGGGGATTACTCCGCTGAGGTCAGTTGCTCCTATATAAAGGAGTTGTAGGTTTGGAAGCCCAAGGCCTATGTTTGCTGGGAGGCTACCAGATAGCTGATTCAAACTAAGCGGCAGCCCTCTCATCCTTGACATATTGAAGATTGAAGATGGGATGAGGCCATTGAGATTGTTCTGTTCGATTGACAAAAACTCTAAATTTTGAAGATCACCCATCTCATCTGGTATAGTGCCTGCCACATATACACAACACAACACAACACTTGCGTGTTTAACTTTGTAGCCTTAGTACTAGTCCAAAATGCCAACCATACGGATACGTAATCTAATCTAACCATATGTACTCTATTGTGCTTTTATTTGAATCACTTCGATACAACATATGTAATCTAATCTATCCATCTATTTTATTCTGGTTATACTTGAATAATTACCAAATCATTTTCATAGTTTGTTGGCGCCAAGATAAATTTTCAGCGGCTTGGCTTATACATGAATAATTTGAATAATTCATTAACTAAATGAAATATCAATTACCTGTCAAATTGTTGGCGTCAAGATAAATTTCCCTTGACTGGGTTAAGTTCCCAATTTTTTTGGGTATGCTTCCACTGAAATTGTTTTCCTCCAATGTTAGATAAAGAAGTTGTGTGCATTGCCATAATTTGGATGGAAGTGGACCATCAAATTGGTTGCGACCCAGATTCAGCTTCTGAAGACTAGGAAGATGCTGGCATATATTGTCAGGAAGACCACCATTCAAGTTGTTTCCATATAGATTCCAAGTAGTTAAAGAAGACATGTTGAAAACACCCACAGGAACATGCCCTAAAACAGGATATATGTGTATATTAAACTCGTAATTTATGCATATATAATGCACTGCAACAAAAGCCCAGTCATATATATAACTAGATCACACACGTATATGATTAGGCCGTTTATGCATCAAGGCAAGGCAACAATTATACCGTTGAAATTGTTGTCCCCCAGGTACATCTCCTTCAGCATTGTTAAGTTCCCTATTTCTCTTGGTACCCTCCCTGTTTTGTATGCCAAAGACACATAAAACAAGAAGGTCAAATGTAATGATTGATCAACAATAGATTCTTAGATACCGTGTTGATATATACGTGCCTGATAGTTGATTTTCTGATAGATCAATTCCTTGCAGTGTAGATAAATTGAAGATAGTCGAGGGTATGGAGCCTGAAAACTGATTGCCATGCAAGTTGAAGGATTGAAGTTTAGGGAAGGACCCAAACCACAATGGAATGAATCCCATAAAATTGTTGTATCTGAAGCTAATCAACTTCAGCCGGCGCAAATAAGATAATTCATGGGGCAAGGTGCCGTGGAAGCTGTTGTTTCTGAAGCGCATCTCAACTAGAAATGAGAGGTTGCCAAGGTTCGGAGGAATGGTGCCGGTAAGTCCCATGTAAGAGAGGTTTAAGACTGAAACTCTAAGGTGGCGAGCACCACAAGTAACACCAACCCAGTTGCAAACAGAGGTGGTGGCTGACCAATTGACCAAGACGTTCTTAGGGTCACCGGTGATATGGGCTTTCAGAGCAAGAAGAGCACCCTGGTCCGTGGTGATGTTAGTTTGTGCTGCACCTGTGCCTAGAGTTGATTTAGCCAAATATATACAACCATAGTGTACCAGCAACAACGTTATTGACAAGAGGAGGAGACTTCTCTCCATGAGTACTGAAAGCAGAGCGAAGTTCCTTCCAACTTCAATGTCTATTTCCTTTCCTTTTTTTCTTTCTCTTTTTCCGATTGAAAACTTGCAATCATTGAAAAATTTGTTGCAGTGGCAGTCTATGAAGATAGAACAAGTTGTCAAAGAGTGGGGCAAATGACATAGACAGGTGAGAAAGGAAGAATGAGACTTATGCACCCTGGGGTACAAAAGTCGCTAGTTGCATTTTTTAGTCCAAGGTAGATGCAACCACTCTTTAGTCATATGTAATCTAGTAGCCAGCTGTCATTGTATGATTTTTTCTGTTAAGAGATGAGTTAGTTCCTTCCAACCACTCTGCTGCAATAACTTCCACATTCCTATTCCTGCGTAGTATGAACATCGATACAGAGGCCACAAGGAATATTGCTGATAAGATCCCTAGGATGACATATTTGCCTTTCCTCCAATTTCGTTTAGCTAGTATTTTTGCATGGTGGAACCTTGAGCTGTAAGAGTGCTTGTAACTATGCTGCTAAGATAAATCTCCCTTAACTGGGTCAAGTTGCCAACACTTTTGGGTATGCTTTGTTAAACCCCATAGATAATATAAGAAGCTCTTTGCATTGCCGTAATTTGGATGGGAGTGGACCACCAAACTGATTGTAAGAGAGAGCCAATCGTTGAATACTTGGAAGATGATGACATATAGTGTCTGGAACACCACCACTCGAGTTGTTTCCTGAGAGAGCTAAAGGGTTTAGGGTTAAACAAGACATGTTGAAGACAAACGCAGGAACATGACCCTTTAGGGCATTGAATTGCATAGACAACCCCTCCACCAAAGTGCTGATCTCGTTTGGAATTTCTGGAAGGGAAAAAAAAAACAATAGGTACATATTAAGCTCACCAGCCAGCCCTTGTAATGTATACTAAGGCTCCGTCTATATAACGCACAGCAACCAGTCATTACCTTCAACATTGTTAAAGTCAAGGGATATCACATGACCAAGATGTTTTGAGAGTCAGTGGTGATATGGGATTTGAGCGCAAGAAGAGCAGACTGGTCTGTGCAACTAATCAAGTTTAATTTTTTACCAAGGCTCTTGGTCTAATTTGTGCATATTTATTTATCTTCTTGAATTTCTTACTCGTTTCTTGGTTGGTTGCTTTGGATCTCTCTGATTTTTCAGCTGATTAAGCCTCACAGTCTAAAGAGTTTACCATAAGACAAAAGTTTGGCGATCAGCTAAGCTCTCCAAGTTACAAATTTCATATGGAGGAACCAAAGTGATTGTAATTTGTAACTTTTTCTTCTTCTTATTTTTGGTTGGAATTGTAGATTTGTAACTTAGGGGCGTATTCAATTAAGATTTTAATGGATTTTAAAATACGTTGTTGGACTCTATAGATTTTATTTGATTTTCATAAACTTCACATAAACTTTGTTTGAATTTCATAAGAATTTTAATGAAATTTGTTTGTTTGATAGATTTTTATAAACTTCAATAAATTCGAAATAGTGGTGAGTCATCATGTTTAATGTTGGTTGTGGTAGTAAAGACGGTGATGGTAGTGGGGATAGTAGAGGCATTAATGGTGGTGGGTAGAGTGGTGGTACTGATCATGTCAAGTGGTGGCGGCGATGGTGGTGATGGTGGTGGTTGAGGTGGCGGCAGCGGCGGCAATGGTGGTCCAGTCAATGCTTTACACTTCTGGGCCATCTACTTCCCAACCCAGTAGCTTTGCGCACACAAACAGCCCACAAGATACACTGGCCTGATGGCCTAACTGTTTGTAAACCTACTCGTTTCTTTGCTTATGGTCAAAGCCCAACATCAACTCAGCTCTCAACCGTGACACGTGGTGCTGTCTGGACCGTGTGATTGAGCTACCGTGCGGGCACTACAGTAGGTTCCTCAGTAGCTGTAGAGCAGAGGCTTGCAGAGTTCAGAAGACGACCAAACCAAGTTTTTCAGTTTGACCAAAATCCAAATACTATTGCTCCACTGACCACCGACGCTACAATTATACACTAACCCAACTTTATTCCCATTATTATTATTATTAAGTGGATCACTTTCTAAGAAACTAATTAGTAATTATATAATCTTATTTTGCCAACACATGAAAACAAATAATTTTGTATCTGGTCTGGTCACAATCATTACCATCATGAAAGTTGTTATTGTATTTTTGCAACCTTCACAACAGGTTTTTTATTTTCCAAATCCGTAATAACGACGATAATATTAATAATTGAATAAAAAGGATATTAACAGCTTTTACGAAAGGGAAATATACATTAAATTATTAGAAAATCATACTCATATGTAATAGTGGTCAAAACAGTGCTTTATGGATAGACATTACTAGACCAAGGCAGTCTCAGACAAAATCATTAGGCTCACCCTTTTCACACCTTGGCTAATGGCTGGGCTAGTTGTAAAGACAAATGTTCAGGGGCTGGTGACCTGAAGAAAGTGGATTTTATGCTTTCAAGGTAAAATTCAAATTAATATTCTTTTTGTTTGACCAAAGATGTTATACAGGTTCGAATGTGAAATCACGAATCTGTAAACCAATGCCATTTTTTACCGAACTAAACTCCATCGATTACACTGTCTTCCAAGAGTGATTAAATAACAGTAAGAAGTATTATTTTAAAGACCTTCAAAAAGAAAAGAGTATATTATTTTAGTTTTTAACTTTTTTCTTTCGGCTAATCAAGAGGCAAAGGCAATATGATTATGTAATGCTTTTGTGGGGGTTAAATGGGGAAAATGCAGAGGCTGATAGATGAGATGAGTCAAAGAATAATAAAATATACAAGTTCATATAAATGGTCAATGTATGCAGTCTTTGAAGACTGAGAAAAGGACAATGTTAACTTCAAAATAAATCAAGGGCTCTTTCAACTTTGTGACTCACTCTTCTCTCATTATTCTTCTTTCAATTTTATATTGGTTCCTTCACAGCTAACCCTTTCAACTGCCAAATCCAAAAACAGACTTGACCTTCTTGGCATAAATGGAGTTCAACTGTGTAACCCTACTACCCTGTTTGCCATTGGACCACATAGCAATCCTGCAATTCTTATTGTCGGATAAACATAAACTTAGCTACTTCAAAAGTTTCATGGATATGAAGTTTTATAATATAAAAAAATATTCATAAAGCTTTTGATAATTTTCACATGTTTGATGTTATGGTTTACTCTAAAATTTGATTGCAATAAGCTCTTGATCTACCACAACAACTAATGCTTCAAAACACAAGGCAATACTACACAACTATTTGTTTATGTGAAAGATAAAACAATATGGCATTTTTCACACAATCATAGTTCCAGAATGACAAGAGAAAAATTCACATTTACCGATGAATATAATTGCTAAATGCAAGTGTTTATACAACAGAAAAAGAGAAAGAAAGAAATGAGTCACGTGATGAGAGATAATGACCAGCCGCGACGTATAATCGAAATATCTAAATTTGACAATAATGAGTTTAGGGTTTAGAAAACATAGGTCAATTAAAGTATAGAAAAAAGGAAAAGTGGCTAAGAATTGACAACCACATGATAAGGAAAATTCACATTCAACCAATAAGTATTTAGCAAGAAAAAGTAGTAAAGACATATTGTTGGAAGTTTGAGAGTACTTAGCAATTTCAATGAAGTTGATTTTGTCAAGTCATAGATTTTATTTCCTATTTGTTAATTTTCTTATGTTTTAAGAGATTATTAAAACGTCAAAGTATGGGTAATTTGTGTCCCTTACTGAAATTATAGTCGTTTGTTTTTCCTTTTTATGTCTCTTAGTAAAATTAGGGTTTTATGCATATAAAGCCATGGTTCAGAAGATTACCATCTCTAATCATTTTATCAGTCAAATTTCGAGAATTTTCTCAACATTCACGCACCCTGTCTTTTCAACTTTCATGGCTAATGGTATTTGTTGGAAAAATTGTATGATTCTTGTTGGCTGAAAAAATTTGGCAGAAGGAAAAAGAGGCAATAGAGATACACAGACAGATTACTAACCGTTGAAAATAGAAAATAGAAAATAGAAAAATAAAAAAGGAAACTAGGAAAAGGAAAAGACAAAGGTTTGAGAATCGGGCAATTGACGACGTCGGCGGAAGACAGAAAGGAAAGGGGTAAAGTCGTAATTGGAGGCAAAGAGTAGGAAAGGGGCCCACCCCATTGGGGAAGAGAGAGAGAGAGAGAGAGAGAAGAAGCAAAAACTGAAAAAGAAGAGCTGGAATCACATGGGGGTTGTTGTTTGTCTAATTGTCTGTGGCAGTGACCTCTAATTCTTCTCCATTCTTCATTCTTCTTCTTCCTCCTCCTCTTCCTCTTCCTCATCCACCACCGCTCTAACTCCATCTCCACCATGACCTTCTCCTTCTTCCTCCCCCCAGCACTTGCAGTCTGATTCGCTCGTTCGTCTTCCTCTTTCCCTTTTTCTCCTTCTCTTTCTTTCCCATCTCAACATGGCCGACGATAAGGTAACTTTCTCGGTAATTTTTGGGTTTTTGTTTGGTTGCCAAAGAAAGCAACTTTCTCAGCTTACTGCAGTTTGATTTCTCTTTCTTTGATCTGGGTTTTGTTATGAGCTAGATTTACTCTAGCTCTGGGGTTTGTTTGGGTTTGACGAGCAATGATGTTTGCTTAGCTCCAGTTTTTTACTCAGATCATAGGGATATTAGCTTGGTTAGGTTTGATTAAAGTCGGATGCTTTTGTGTAATTTGGGTTTGATTTGCAATTGATTTAATCTGCATCTCGCTTAGCTTATGAGCCAACCGATCTGTTTCTTTTCTGAAAGAAAAAAAAAGAAGAAATTTTGTGGATGTTCTTTTTGGGTTTTAGGCATTTAGTTTCATTTCATGAGGCATATTTGGGACTCAGAATGTACTTTGTATAGCCTTTATTTACTTTTATATTCTTTGCGTGGTCTGCGGTTGTGTATGGCTGCTAATCCGTGAATTCCACTGTAAATTTCATGCACTTTATGGGAAATTTGTTTCTCTCAGGATCTAACTTGATGTGTTATGCAGGAAATTTCTGCACCTGTTGTAGACGGTAGTGATCCAACGGGCCACATCA